CAAACATGCATTGGGAAGATAGAAGTTTAGCTCTTCTGTCCTGTCGGACTTTAATTGCAGAGATGTGTGCAGCGCCAGTAACACTGTGAGTGTCCTACTGCTGTCATATGGACGTGTGACACACACCCCACTGCTCTAAGCTCGGGTGACACGGATGCTTGTGCCGCTAGCTCTCTGACATGGGATGTGCTCATTAAACCAGAATTCCCACTGTGTCCAGCTCTGAACTGGACACTGGTGACACCGAGAAGAGACAAACAGGAGACGGTACCAGCATGGACTGGAGGCTCCTGGGTCATCCACGTTCGTTCAGGGATGTTTAGGGTCTAGAAGAGGACGGATAGTAGAGGTGGGATTCAGATTAGACACACAGCAGAACTTTTGAGATGTGGTGATCAGCTTGACTTTTCATTCTCCCTAAAGTCTTGAATGGGAAAATAAAGTATATCATAATCTGGATGGTTTTAGCGAGGTCCCATGTAAGGACACAGAGACAGATTGATCTCTTCATCATATTTCCCGTTACCTCTCTAATTATTCGACTCTTCCACTCTTCACTGAACTTTTGGAAGTGGGTTTAGACTGTCAAGGTCTCTGAAGTCTCTCTGTGCAGGGTGTTCAGAGAAGTGCTGGGTACCGAGAGGTCAAGAGGTCTCCCCAAGGTAACACAACGTTGTTAGCAAGGCTGAATTAGAATTCGGAATGTGAGCTACTATCTCTCAGAGTCAGGGATGCTGCCTAAGGGACATGGAAGCATAGAAATCTCTCCAGCGGTGGCTGTGGGGATGCCTAGGTTTACAGATTCTAGAATCCTTTCGACCCCATTTCTCCCTTCACAAATGGAAGGGTAACATTAGGTACAGAAGCACCCTCTCGGAATGGATGGAAATTGATTTTTACAAATAGTGGCCCCTCTAAGTGAGCAGTAAAGTGTACCCAGATGTTGGCATTGGGGAGGATTCTGAAGTCTGGTCCCAGTGTCTTCCGGTGACAACAGAGAGGATAAGCAACAGCTGTGTTACACCTGTTTATTCCCTAACCAAGTCGTCCATGTGTCTCGGCTCCTGGGGAAACCGAGAGTGGCACCCTCTGAAGGAGGCAGAGATGGGCAGGAGTGGCTCTATGTATAAGATGACGGAGGAATGAGAGTTTGAGTTATAGTAGAGATGCCAGCCTTAATGTTTAAGTACGTGTGATAAAATAGAAAAGAGACGCATGTTAGGCAATGAGGACAGAAGATAAATGAGGCTGTGAACTCCTTCAGAAGCCGGCATGTGTCCTATCTTTGAACCTTCTATATTCAGGACTGTGTCCAACCAAGATCCAAGAGCAGGCATCAGTTCGCGGTGATCGGACCGGAGCGACCTGGTGGTGGTGTCAATAGAAGGAGCCATCTGATGGGCATTTATAACGAACTAGACCTGGAGCCCAGTCCCTCACGAGTCATGATGGGTTAAACCCTCACCATGGTCATGTGAAATACACATTAATGTCTCTGTTTCTCAGGTAGAGAACCCAAAGCAGGACTTAGTTCTTCCCTGAGGTCATCCAGTTAAAAAGTGAGCTGCGCTTTGTGCCCCGCTTCACCTGACTCCAGAGGCTACGCTTTCAGTCTTTAATAATAATTGATTTTCTTTACTAAACTATTTTCCAGACTGCTTTGAAGCCCGTATACCATGCTGATTCTGTTAATTCTCCCAGACAGTTTATTTAAGTCCCAAATATCCAGTCTTTGTAGAATTTCATTTGCAGAGGGTCTGCTGGTAGCAGTGGCTTGTCATCCAAGAGACTTCATGCGAGATATTGAAATGAAAGCTTTGGCAAGGGTGAGGGTTCTACACCGTGTTCTTGACTGGACTTGAAGCCCTGTGGAAACACACCCCTCTCCGTCCATAAAAGTGTTTCCTTGCTGGAAGAAGGAGGACCTGTCTTGAGTATGGATGGAATCGTCCCATGGACCTACAGTTCCAGACTTTGGAGAAAAGATTACAACAAAACCAAACAGGAAGATGAGCAACGGCACCGCCCCTCTCCCTCTGCCTCTGGCTGTGCCGGAGCAGGACCAGCTGCCTCACTTCGCCAGGCTTCTCCCCGCCAGGGTGCCAGGGCAAGCCCAGACTGTGAGCCCCATAAAGCCTTCCTTCCTTCGCTTGCTTCTTGCCGGGGATTGGGTCACAGTAACAAGACAACTAATACAACAGTTGAGGTCACTCCTTTGGTCCTATCCAACAAGAAATAGCAGGGCTGAGACTGGACGTCTGGGTTTCAAGCCCTGTCTCATGAGAGGAGGTACCCAACCTGGAAACCATAGCACACTTGGAAACGCCTGTGTGCGTCCAAGCCCTGGCTTGCTGGTATCCAGTAGATGCATCATTCCAGTCTGGCATGCCAATGATCCCAGAATCCTCTCCCATATCCAGTCACTGTATTTTCCCCAGAGTCACTTTATTCTACTAGAGGCATTTGGGCACACCACTTGGCAATCTTAAACCTCCACTTCCTCATCCTTACACAAGTAAGAGAAACTTCCTTATCCACCTTACCTGGCTGTTCTGGGTTTCCAAAGAAGCAAGGATACCCAACTTGGAGCTTTCCCCATAATACAGGTAAAAAGAGGAGGCATAGTTGAGCTGAGAGGTGGCTCCGTGGCTAAGAGTGCTTGCCGCATTTCCTGAGGACCAGAGTTCGAATCCCAGAACCCACATTGGGACTACCCTTAACTCTAGCCCTTGATAAATCTGACACATTTTTCTGACGTCATTGGAACACCCACACATGTGTCATACACCACACACTTCCACACCAAACTTAAAATTTTTTTTTTTATTAAAGGGCAGGCACACCTCTGAAAGGTTGATTGGTGGAGGTAAGGTCCCACCTACCTCTGTTTCCCTGAAAGCAGCTCAGTTCATAACCTAATGTCATGACTAAGGATCTCTTTAAATCTCAAGGCTAAGAAGGGAGAGTGCTCTATGGCATTTAAAGTGACGGCAACCAAAGGGAGGGTGATAGGTCCTAAAAGCAATCTCAGAATGGAGAATTTGAATACAGTGGATCAGGGGGAGGGAAGTGGAAATTCCACTCCCCAATTTACCTTTTTGTATCCTCTAATCTCCCAATCTCCAAAGCAGCTCAACCCCAGGTTCCTCTACCTCTTTTAAAAGCCAACAAATGCGCTTCTAGTTACTGACCAGAAGGGGTCACTGCGGAGCGAGCAGAGCCCAGGGCACTCCTAAACCAGTACACAGCAATCCGCCGCACACAACCCCATCTTGTAGCCCTTTCTAGACCAACAGTCGCTCCTTTATTCCTGTGTTCTGGCTTTCCTTGCCCTATCTTGTTCCCTCTCCTCTTCCCCTTTTACCACTCAATGTACCCTCTATTCTCTTGCAAAGAATTTACAAAGCTAACACGGATGTTGGGAGTCTTCGGTCCACACTTCTACTAGGTCTACAAAAATTAAAGATTTTTCCCCTCTTCAGGGTGGGACCTGGTGCCGGTGTTTGAAAGTCCTTAAGACTTAGTGAAGGCTCCTTCTAGGAGTTTCAAACACTGGAGGAAGGCGAAAGTGTTGCCGTACCAAGTATTGCAAGGCTCTAAAGGAAAAGAGCTGGAGGCTCCCACTGGGCTATGTTCCTTAAGGAAAACCCTCAGATTAAAGGAAACATTGTTGTCTATATCCTGCGTTTCTGGAGTCTGAGATTCTGAGCTCAGAATTGATTGGGATTGGGGGGAGTGAGGAGGCAGAAGGAGGAAAACCCCAAAAGTTACTAACTCCTTGTAATCCTCAAACACCCCCCTCCCCACCTCCACCCGAGTGCTTTCTTTGCCAAATCGGACTGCCGCTTCACTCACAAGCTCTGGGTTCTCAGGGGTGGGGAAAAAGGGTGGGGGAGGGGTGCGGGCTTTGGCAGCGGGGACGCGAGGCAGGCCGGCTGCAAGGCACAAAAGAGATATCCTTTACAGCGCCGCAGGCACAGATGTGACGCTGTGCCCCTCTGCGGGTGGGGGCCGGCTCGGCAGATGGCGAGAAGCCGTGCTGGCGACGGATTGTCCATCAAATGGCATTTTCTGGATGGGGGACGGGGGAGCCCACGGCCCCCAGGCATAAAAAGGATAAAGTAGGGGCACCTCCACTTTGCAGAGCTCAGCAGTCCTTCCCAGAGGTGGGGATGGTGCAGGCAGGTTGGCGTGGGCGGGTAGGTGGGGCTGTTTTTACTAGCTCACTCAACAGAAGATGTGCTCCAAGTCTTGCAAAGGGACAGGGAGGTGGCTCAGCGCTGTGAGTGCGCATGCAAGGGTTGAGGGGAAGGCCTGCGATGATGGAGGAGGGGTGAGGTCTGGGACGGAGGATCTCCAGCTCGGTTATATTCCGAGTGCTGGGGTTTCTTCTCAGAGGGGTCGGAACAGCAACTCTGGCCACCGGGCCTTGGAGACAAGCGCACACCCCGCCCTTTCTCCTCCCCAGACCTGCGGGCCTTTGTTATGCAGATGGCGGCGGGAGGCTGAGCCACCGAAGGAGGGGTTGCTGGGGAAGGAGGAGACCGAGAAGGGGAGGGAGGAAAGTACAGCTCGCGCGACCAGCCTCCTCTTCCAACGTCACATTGTGCAAGAGACAAAACCCGGGCGCACTGGAGCTCACACGCGCACGCACGGCAGACGCCCCGGTCGCCTCCTCTCTGTTCCTTGCGCGGTAGAGAAAGCCGGCCCAGCTTTGCTTTGCTAAGGACGCGGAGCTCAGCCGGCTCCCAGCGCAGTTCAGAGCCAAGGCGGGAGGTGAACCCAGCCGGGGGACCACCTTCAATCTTCGCTGCCAGCCAGGCTGAGTCGTCCCATTCAATCCCATCCCCCGCCCAGAACTCTGATCTCTCCCCCACCCCACCCTTTGGGGGTTTCACGCGGACAGCGCCCCGGAACCAAGGGCGTGTCATCGGGTTTGGAATCCACGTTTCAGCACTTCGGACAGCGCCCCGGTCGCCCGGACTCCTTGGGTTTTCAGGATGGCGAGCCTGCAGCAGGGCGAGAAGCAGCTGTTTGAGAAGTTCTGGAAAGGGACCTTCAAAGCAGTGGCCACTCCGCGTCCCGAGAGCATCATCGTTGCCAGTATCACAGCCCGCAAGCCACTACCAAGGTAATGACCTCGTTCGTGAGTTGTGGACGCTGGAAAGTTCCCCTTTTTCTTGCCTGCGCCCCAGAATCTTGACAGGTGGACTTAGGCAGCTGGGTCAGGGTGCCTGGACTATGTCCGTCATACCCGGTATCTCACGCTGGAACATGGGAAATATTCGCCTGGGTGAGGAGGAGGCTGTTGAAAAGGGACAGGAATTCTTTGGCGGGGAACAACACTCCCACAGACTCCACACCTCCCTTTGCTGTCTTAGGGTGGGCGGTGTGACTCGGGTATGCACTTGCCTGAAAACTTTTTCAGCTATTGCCAAGCTCATAGGTCAGGGGGGCAAGACAGTGGTGGATCTGAGGTTCTGGGGGGATACTGTACAAAGTATGAACTCAGCTCAGACAGTGTTCAGAGAGGGTATTCTAACCCAAGCTCAGAAACTCGTGGGCTCTGAGGTTTTGACAAAAGTCCATATGCTGTTCCTTCAAATACACTCCAGACAGCACCCTCCTCCATGCTTAGCTGAGGCTGCTGCTGGGGTTGAATTTTTTTTCCCCCTCCAGTATCCAAAACCAAGTCTCAGAGCTCAAAGTCAGCATGAAGGTAATCGTGGAAGTTTTATTTTATTTTATTTTTAAAGAATCTGGCGGCTTCGAACTTTGGAATGAGTTGTGGTTCTGGGGTGGAGGTTTAAAAAAAAAATGACCAGAGGGGAGAATAAGGGAAGGAATAAAAGGCAGAAGAAAAAGAGAACAGGATGCAGGGTAAAGAGGAGGTGGCGAGGGGTGAGGGTGGGGACACAGAAGCCTTCCATGGCAGAGAAAAACCCAATGTTTTCTTAGATCGTTAGATTTAGAGAAGCTTGAGACGAAGGCTGTGCCCTCTGTCAGGGAAAATCAAGCCTGTATGAAAACTCATCTCTTGGTGCTACTGGCTGAGCGGTTCTGAGAGTTAAAGGGAAGAAGCGGATCTAGGGGACCACTCGCAGGCTTGATTAACACTGGCAGGCTGTATTAGGGGATAGATTGAAAACATGTCTGGGAAAGAGACCCTGACAGAATGCCTGGCCTAGCAGCAACTACGTCTGAACTTTCCAGCAAGTGTGGGTCGATGAAGGTTGACTGGAGAAAAATACCTGGAAGGAGCAAACCCACACCCAGGAACTTTTCTTTGTTCCGACTGAAGCTCAGACAGGTCTTTAGACAAACGGAGCATCCTATGTGGGGAATGTGTGGAGAGGAAGCAGGAAGGGCCAGCAGAATGTAGCGCCTTGAGCAGAGGCCAGCTTATGCTCAGGAGAGGGGGAAGCCCACACTGATGGGGCTGGAGAGGTGGTGGTGACACCAAATGTCATTAAAGCGGGTGTGCGTCTGCTTGTTCAGAGGTTCTTTGTAGAGAGTTTGACGTCAGCGCTTTTATCTTCCTGGTCTTCTGCCACCGGCTTCACCTTCTCGCTTCCACTCCCGGCACATCAGTGCCGCCCTGGTCAGAGAAAATGGCCTTGCTGGTGGAGCCAAGGGGAATTTGTCTGGGGACAGAAGTATTTGGTCCACGGTCTTCTGTCTGTTTTTGTGCTGCGCTGGGGGAGGAAAGCAGGTTCTCAATGATGTTTTAATTTAGGAAAGTGACCCTACTATTACCACACTTGGCATCTGCCTTTCTGTCTATTGTCTGTCTGTCTGTCTGACTGTCTGTCTGACTACCTACATACCATTTTCTTGCCAAAAGCTTTGATCCTATGAACTGACTGAGAGACACCCTAGCCCTACAGTGTTTATTCATTTTAATTTCACTGCTGTGTGACTTTTGCAAGAGTTCCGTACACCCTCAGTATTTTCTCACCCTTGATGTGTTTTAACGTCCTGGGTTTCTACCTCCCTGGTCAACACCCTTGAAGTTTATGTCAGAGTTCTATAAGCTCTTGATTGATAGTATACAAGAATGCTTCTGTGATTGGTGGTTCCTCTCTATAGAACACATTCTGGTCTGTAGATGTGATATCTAATCCTGGGTGGAGATTGCAAGGAACATTTATATCCAAGTCCCCAGAAAGGCCTGGCTTAGTCTTGTTCCGACGGACTAACTGTAAGACCGAATCATTCCCCTGCTCACCGTATCAGCTGCACACAGCAGCCATGGTCAGCTCCCATTCCCTTCCAGCGTTCTGTGTCACCGGAGGGTAGAAATGTCACATTTCTAAAGCCGAGCTCCTGGAAAGAAAAGGGAGAGAGATCCTGCATAGCTTCCGCGGAGCCTTGGCGACTCTCTGAGACAAGCTGCGGACTTGTTCTCATCAGAAATGTTTAGTTGCTTGAGCCAAGCCCAGCTCAGTCAGAGGATTGGCACAATCCATGCCTGTGGGAAGATGGGGGAGCTGTGGGCGAACCACCAGCCAATCAGCCAGTCCTGTTGGTTACACACTTAATATTTGATTATAGATGAGGGTCCCTCCCCTGGATGAGCCTCTCCAGGATATCGTAAGTCTATGGCTGAAGATAATTTAATACCAGTACTAGGGTATGCATTTTAAGTTGTTGATTTCACAGCAACATGCTTATGATGGACAATTGCGTTATAAGCAGACCCGCTCCTTGGCCCCTCCCTTCTCCCCCGCCCCATCCCTGTGTGAGCCATTCTTGATGAGGCAAGAGTTTTCTCTTGCATCAAGTTTCAGGCAGATGTCTGCCTCAGATGTCAGGATGGCAGAGCCCAGTGGGATGCCAGATACCATAGTGGCCGGCTTACGTGCTGATGTGAGCGTCAGAGAACCTGGGGTCCTGTCCTGGACTGTTTGTTTCCTGAACCAGAACCTTCACCTCACTGAACACGTCAGCTTGAAAACAGAATCTGTACCTATCACTACCTCAGCCCCCATGAGGACGGAGCCAGGTGAAACTCTGCCATGTGTGTGGCATAGAGTGTTTGATCAATAGACCTTTGTCCTGTAAGGGAGCTCAGAGTGGCTAAAAGGAAGTACAAAGTCTCCAGATCTGTTTCATCTCTCCCTCAACTAATGCTAAAAGTTGACATTTTGAAAGTTCTGCTCTGGACAGGCTACAAAATTGAGATGAGATTAATACACGGGGCCAAGCAGGGCGGACCCATAGTTCCCCTGCCATGTGAGTGGCTGGGTTGTTCTCCCTGTTTCTGTGATTAAATACCTCCAAAGCAACTCATGGGGCAAAGAGTTGGTTTCAGCTCATAGTTCAGGGGTATAGAACAACATGGTGAGGAACTCAGTCAGGGGGAGCTTGAGGCCACTGGTCACATGGAATCCGTAGCCAGGAACAGTGTGATAGCACTCAGCGCCTGCCATTTCCTTCTACCTCCCCAACCGAAGGAACGGTGTGATAGCACTCAGCGTCGGCCATTTCCTTCTACCTCCCCAACCTAAGGAACGGTGTCACCCAGCGTGGTGGTTTCCCCGCTTTCATGATCCTAATCAAGATTGTTTCCCATGGGCATGTCCAGGGCCCACCTCCCTCCCGGGGGTTCTAACTCTCATATAATTGACAACAGAGATGAACCAGCATGGAAGGTAACTCTTTTCTTCTCTGGTTGTTGAGTTGGGGGTGGGGCACAGTGAAATCTGGATTCTGAACTGATCTACAAACACCTTATAGAGTAGCCTCCGGCCACCTGGAATGCCACACTCAGGTCACTGAAGCAGGCTGATTGTGAGTTCACCATCAGCCTGGATGGCGTGGAAAGACCCTGGAAGAGGGGGTAGGGAGGAAGGAAGAAAAAGCAAGAAAGAAACCAAGAGGGGAAAAGAGGGAAGGGAGGCTGGAGTTTGCTCCTCTGCCGCTGTTATAAAACACTGGCCGTGTGTGACACTGGAGGAAAGGGTGTGTTTTTACTTACACCCCCAAGTCACACTCCATCACTGAGGGAAGTCAGGACAGGAACTCAGTGCAGGATCCTGGAGATGGGAGCTGATGCAGAGGCCGTGGAGGAGTGCTCCTCGCTGACTTGCTCCTCCTGGCTTGCTCAGCTTGCTCTTTTATACAGCCCAAGATCACCTGCCTGGGAGATGGCACCACCCCTGGTGGTCCGGGCCCTTCCTTAGCAATCATTCATCAAGAAAATGTCCCCACAGGGCTTGCCCACAGGCCAGTCTGATGGTGGCAGTTCCTGAACTGAGCCCACCTCTTTCTAGGTGGCTCTGGGATGTGTCAAGTTGATATCTGAAGCTGAGCAGAACAGAGGGAAAGGAAGAGGGGGGAAGGGAGGAGGAGAGAGGGAGAAAGGGAGGGAGGCAGGAATGAGAACAGCTGTTTAGAATGGAAATTCTAACAGGGATGATCCTAAGAAACCCAGAATAAGGTTTAGCACAGTCATAACTCACCGGACAGCACCTGGCAGGAACACCCCTCCCCAGGAATCAGTAAGATCAAGGACATACACTAGACCCCTCTCTTACCTCCACAAAGGAGAGTCACGTTCCCTTCATTCCTCTGTCAATCTAGCTCAGCCTCAGAAAGTTTGTACCTAAAAAGTTCCTGGTCAGCGAAAACCTCGCTTTTAAAGTAACTCGAACCATAATAATCATATCGATAAATAGCCGTAGCTGGGGACTTAATGAACATGTAAAAATCATTAGGAATTAGCATATGAATTGTTTGCGGATGCGTGAGTGTTTGTTAAGGGCTAGAGCAGCAGCCCCCTCTTAAATAGAGCGTGCATTCCCTTTGCTATTTGTTTGGCAAGCTATTAATTTTCTTCAAAAATCCTTTTTGTGCAGAATACTCCAGACTGGAGCCCAGTCCTTGTCCAAAGGCTTCATAAATTCCAAACTGTTGGAGGTTTTACTGCATGAGGGGAAAGATGGCCAAACTGTAAAGCAAGAAAAAAAAAAGCCTTTGAACCATTTAATTTGAGACTCCTCTTGGTGCCAAACAATCGGTTAACACATTTGTGCTGACTCCACGTGGGATCGGTGTGAGGGGCATTTGGATGATGCTTTTCGGACAACCGTGGTTAAGAGCCAGTGTTCTGAGGGTCACAGAAAGCGC